GTGGCCGGGTGCCAGGCCTTTCATCTGGTCTCGCAGTTCCTTCAGCTTGATGTAGAAATGTACTTTATCTTGAGCACGGGGAAACTGGGCACAGCGGGGGCTTGATGATGGCATTAAGTAGCACACCTAAGAGAAAGGAAGCAAGCTATGAGAAGTCGAGTTGTACTGTGGAGCATAATGCAAGAGACATCAAGTTCCTGTTTCGACATACTGTTTCAGTTTCTGGGATTTTGTAGGGCTGTAGACCAAACTCGAGGTTCTTGGCCTTCACACCAAAGATTTCTTTGCAAAAGATTTCATAAATTCCTGCAAAAGTTACAAAAACAAACCCAGAAGAAAACATGTTAATACACTGATAAACTTAACGAGTGGGTTTTTACAATAAGCCATCGAAAAAACAGAAATGAACAAAACAAAGCACTTTCAATGTTTGAATAATTTTACCTTTTCCATTAAAAGCTGCTATTAAAGGCTTGTATTTCTGCAGCTTGTCAAGTAATTGCCGACCTCCTTCACGAATCTCCTTACTGGAACATAACAGATATTTAAGAAAGGAAATTACAGAAAGCAAATATTTTTCAAGGGACACACTGGATTGCAATTATTTTCAAGTAAATGTCTGATCCGTATATTAAAGTAAAACTATTTTACTGGTATATCGATTTTTTTCCCAGTCTCAGAGAGGGACATTTGCAGTAGCAGCCTAATTATTGTGTGCATGAATGTGATCACATAACTACATGTAGAACGCTAATTATTAAAGTAGCTACCAAAACCATGTTGCACGTCGAGTCTGCATGCCTATGAGTTAATACGACACCACGTAGTTCAGACTTGTACCATGCTAAAAGTGATACAGGAATGAGAACAAGGGCGATCTAGTAAGTTTGCCCTTTTCTGAAAAGGTACCAGCGTTCTCATTCAGACATCAGACATTTCCTTTCTATAAACTATATAAACTTAATTGGAGTGAGTTTTTTCCTACCTGGAGAGGTCCTTGCTGCCAGGCGTGGTTCTTTCTACCATGTTGGTGAAGCCAATGCTGTACTTCTCTGGCAGGCTCTCGTCGTGCATGTAGTTTAGCTGCTCATCAGTTAGACCAGCCAAAAACAGACATTTCCCTGGAAAGAAAAGAAGAGTTGAAGAACAAATTGGCCAAGTGGCTATCAAGCAAATAAAGAAACAAAATACATTTCACAACATTGGACTCAAACTATTTTTTCCCTGTTGGTTACGAATAATATTTTTTAGTTATCGTAGCTGTTCTGCTGAATCTACACAGTTATAGCAGCGCACACAGCAGGACTCTGTGAAAGTTTGTTTTCCAACACAATTTAGTGAACTGATGAACATAAGAGGTTTTGGCAGGCAGTAGGTCTTTGGAGCAACAAAGTAAAAAATATTTTCACTGTTAAACAATGTGCTGCGCTGATACTGGAGTTCCTGAAGATAGGACACAACCAATGGCAGCACCAGTATCAGTCTGTTTGGCTGCCTCACCACCTCAACAATAAACACTGAACAAAACACAAATACTATGATTATATGTGTAAAAGATGTTTTGAATGTAAGAAAACAGAGAAAAGAATTAAAAAGTCTCTGTGGCACAGAAATAATGTGAAAACTACTAGTCGTAAGCAACTAGTGGAAAAAACCTCTCATTGTGAAAAACCTGGTAAAACCCAAACCTCTACCAAAAGAAGCATTCTTCATTTTTGTATTGACTCTTTAAATGTTAAGCATTCCCATGACTGAGCCCTTAAAAAACTTTAAGAGGTTAAACACTGTACAGCTGTGTTGTTTATTCTGTGCATTCTTTTGTCTGTTTGTTCCACCAAATTGCTAAAACTATCATGATTTGTGCGCAGAGTGAAATATTCAAACCCAAGACACCATTTTTATGGTTGCACCAATAATCAAATTGAAAGTTACAACCTTTAGCTGAATTATATCATTACACTGGCATCTGTGGATCCTTTTGGATCTCTTAGAACAAATCTCAGCTGCAGCACAACAAGCTTCTGTAATGATGGAGCAAATAAAAGTGAATACTGTCATGTATTCCCTGTAGTCAGTAATGAAATTGGATTTCAACATACAGAAATGGTTTCCTGGGTTTGGGTAATGGTGTCCTTTGAAGGCTGACAATAGTCCTGGGTTAATTCCAATCTGAGGAGAAACATGAAGGGGTTACCATGGCAACAGACCTGAAAACTGCAGTTTTTTGTGACTCAAACCTAAACCATAATTGGAACCAAAGAAAACCAATCCACTACTTATACAAAAGAAGAAATACAGAGAATTCTTAATAGAACCCCAGAAAATAACTCACTATCAAAATGTCAAGATTGTAGGTAATAACGTCTGGCAGGGTTTTGGCCATGACTTCAGCCACCGTCATGCCGTTGAAGCGGTTCAGAGCCCTCTTGGCTTTTTTGGCAGCCTCAACCTCATTCTCCTCCTCCTGTGCCTCACCGTCCTCCGCCTGCTGCTTCGGAGGCCGGCCTCTTTTCTTCTTCACTGGTGTCACAACTAAAACAGAGAGGAATAACTTATTAAGGTATGGCAGTGAATACAAGATAAACTGCCAGACGAAGTATTTAGCAAGTGTTCCCATGCAGCATGTGCAAACTTAAATGTGGCAAACAAAAAAGTAACACATTTAAGTACAGTAGTTATGGTTAAAAACATCTTGTGGGAGAATTTCTGTAATCAATAAGCTCTTCCATTACCTTGAGGTGGAGCAGCAGGCTGAAGTTGGTGCTGAATACTTGGCTCCTGCTGCTGTACTGTATGTTGATGCTGAGAGTGGTGCAGGGCGGCAGTGTACTGCTGCTGCTGTTGCTGCTCCCTGACGTTCTGCTGGCAGGTCTGCTCCTGGTAGTGGTATGAGGGTGGAGGGTAGTTCTGGTAAAAATTTTCCTGGTAAAGAGGTGGATCCCGGTGGACAGACAGCTCCGTCATGACAGGCTCTTCTATGGGACCTTCTGTGTAACGGCCCATGTTGTGATACGGCATCACATGCTGTGCCTCGGGGTGCTGCTGGCTGGACTGGTACCTTGAAAAGAGGATGAAGTACAGGGTTAAAGGAGAGATGTGCAAACATAAGGAAACAAAATAGAACTTGGGCACAGCAAAAGAAGAAGAAGAAAAAAAAAGCCAAATTATGTCTGGTGTTCAATGGGGTGTGTGAGAAAGGGGTGAGGGAAACTTACACACAACTACACAAGACACAATACCTAAAAACAGACATGCGCTGATGTACACCATTTTATATGCTCTGCATTTCATAGACTGCATTTCAAAGGATTTAAGTCAGGCTCCCAAATTATTTCCTTTATGCTTTGTTTGAGATATTTCATTAGTTTTGTGCACATAACCTACAACACTTAGTTATAACACTTGCAAATTGGTCTTTTAATGCATAGCTAAGGATGGAATGAAGATATACAAACAATTAATTGGTTTGCACTGTGACTGTGCAAATGCAATGTGAATTTTATTTTACAGTAACAGCTGCCAAATTGTCTAAAAGCTACTGTATATGTATTTATAAAGCCTGAAGCAAATAACGCTGTAATTACTGCAGGTTAATGTACTGACATGTCAAAACAGCTTTTAAAATGTTGTCAAACCAGCTACATGGTAAGATATAATGATAATCCTGAGGTAGGATATTAGTTCAACATTATCACTCTACATTTTAATAGATTTTGATCGATGATTTATTATCCTCATCACGTGCTACCATTCTAAATATCAAGTGTACAGATGTGTATGATGTTGTGTGTCAGATGATGTTTATTTTCCTCCATCATGCATGAAAATGAGGACGTCGAGGAGATAACATGAGAAGTTCCCAAAAACCTCCCTCCACCTCCGACACCAACTCACCACTGCTGAAAATAATCCGTAGGAACCGTCAAAGATGTAAACTGGTTTTCTTCCATCTTAACTGTTGACTTATTTGAATATATTAACGTTCATTCTGATGCCAAATGTATTAATGCACACTGGGGATACACAGCAAGCCGTGTCAATATTAGAGCACACACAGTACAGCGCTGGCACAAAGACGGATGGACGCCGCTACAGGAAGCCTGAGCTAACAGTAAGCTAACAACATCACTGAGTTCTACAGCTGCTGTGAAAACGCAATAGACCTCCAAATTAACGACACGTCAAGGTTTATGAATAAAGTAACATACCTGTCATACATTTTTCTTTAGTTTTCAAATAAGAAATCGGGGGGCTGGGAAACCTCCCAAAACAAAGACCATTTAAACGCTCAGTTTTTCGTTTTAATCTGCTTGACTAAAGAGTTACCGCCGCCATGTGGTCGTGAGGTGTAACTGCACTCATTAATATTTTGAATGCTTGGCCACAATCAACAGCTGTCGTTTTATGTGTAAAAGCGACAATAATTAAGCAAAACAGTGCAGATTATTTGGCAATAAAACACTGAGCAATACCGTGTTTAAATGACGTCTGGCATACAGACTATACGAAGTCGACTAGATGGAGCCAGAGGTCTTGTCAATGGCTGCATCAACACGATTTTATACTGTAGAAGAAGTAGCAGCCAAAGATGGAGTGATTTCGTAACACTTATCACTCCACAGTAAAATCAGAGCCTATGAAAAAATGTCAACATAAATGGGGAAAAATCTATCTCTGAGCCCTTCAGATCACGAATGTTATACTTTAGATGATGTGTGCGGTTAGATTATACTTCCCTAGCGTACCTACCAGAACCTGATAGTTAAATATACATTTGAAAGGCGTATTTTCACACCCTGTATGCAACATTGCTTCTGTTAGATGTAGCCTACGTAACCAAACAGCCTCAATATTGGGGGATAAGAGTTTGTTTTTTTTCCATTCAAGCTTAAAAATTAACAAATAAATTTACCAGCATACAGGCGACAAATACAAATAGAAGGAATCTCAACTTTGGTGGGATTCATAAAACACAGGCAGAGTGAGACCTCCTACCATTACACCGTGTCTGTGTTCTGTGGTGTTAGCTAAACAGCATGACCTGCCTGTGTCCCAATGACAGACTCTTCGGTTTGAGGTGGTTTACTGATTTCTCAGTGAAATAAACGAGGTAAGGTTTTATAAGTTTCACGTCAGGTCAGTTTATGTACGGTTCTGTGTGAATAGTTTCTTTCTTACAGTCCTTTAACCCTACAGCTGCTATATGAGGGCTCACCGCTGTAGCCTCACACAGCACACGTTGAACATGTCTGCATACCTGTTGGGCATATTTGATGTGAAAGTGGTCAACTTGTCATGCTAATGTCTGCTAAAAACTGACTATGATTAAATTGTGTTGTTCAGTTTATATTCATCTACAGCTGACTGTCTGTATATCAAGTAGTTAAAGCATGCAAATACACAGAACTATATGTCTGCATGTGTAACAAAAGTGTCTTAGTGAAACTTTATCATTACTTCTTACAGATTAATTGTGGTTAGAACGTGTCTGCAGTTGACAATATAATCAGGCCTGAC